AGTATATGTAATTCCTCGATATAGCACATGTGCTGTTAGACAATAATGGTTGTCAGTTGTATCTTCTCACCTCCGAAAAGTATGTACACAGTCACTAAAATCCTGTTCGCATTTCCAGAGATTCGCTATCCCATAAAACAAATCATGTATTCCAGGCAGAACACTCTTGCTTTAAAATATTTATTTCAGTATACTTCACCTTTAAACACTGGGCAGGAGAATTAAGGAACCATGCATGGAATGAATAACAATTTAAAAAAAGAAAAACTCCAGACATCATTCTTTCTTTGTTAGAAACAACATAGAAACTTAAGGCAAGTAACTCTCTAATATTGTCTATTCTCCTATCAAATAAGAAAAAAATTAATATCTATAACATTTATTGAAGACTTGCTTTATGTCAAACACTTTTAAGTTCACTCAGTGAATAGATTCACCTATTCTTTACAATAGCTCAGCTATCAGTATAATGTAAACCCTAATGTCATTCCTTATAGATAAGGAAACTGAGGAACTGAGCAAGTTGGAAATTTGCTCAGATTAGCTGACTGATAAGTCAGATCCCATTTGTATGCTGGCATATGTAATACACCATACTATGTCCAATAAGTGAACCATGAACAAGGCGTACCACAAATGAACAAAAGAGCAGTGAGGATCTTCTCAGAAAAGTTCTTTCTTTCTCTTTCACCAATGTGTGAGACTTTTAAGTTGTGTCTCACCTTTGATCAGTCCTAGAATTCAATAGCTGTTTTCCAACTTGTGTAAGTATGACACTTCATAAAAATACGTCTTCGGTCATTACGACATAGCTATGCAAAGGCGCACATAGAAAAGTGAAATTAAAACTGAAATAATATTTACGTGGACAATAGGCCATCAAATGAAGGTTTTCTATTCTAGTCTACTTCACTGTCTAGAATGCTGACTGTGTCCCACCAAATTGATTTCATGACCCACTAACGGGTCATAACATAGTGAAGAAACACTGCCGTCGATGAGAGGAACTTACAATTGCTCCATGAAATTAAGATTTCTAATCACTCTCATATAAACATAATTTATGAGCAGTTGGTGGTAATGGGAATTTATGCCATTAAAAGATAATAGAGTGTCAAGTCCATTGTGCAAAGGCTTTTAAAATGCTCTCACTATTGAGCCAGTTGACTTATGGAGGGTATCAGGGAATAATACTTTTACTACCTCATTTGAGAGACCAAGGACCCATAAATTTCGATCAGTTCCAAATTCTTAAGTTTGTTAGACTCTTTCCAGGTAACATGATCTAACACTTAATTTGTGCAGTCAAATTTAATCTTCAGTTGCCTGATACACAGAGAATATTTGTAAAGCCGAATTTTTATTCTGGAAAGTCTGAAAATGTACCGAGAAAACTATAAGTTAGATGGGAAATCAAAACAGCTGTGAAACTAACCACTGGTCCATAAATCCAGAGGTACAAAAAAAATATGTCTGGAAAGTCGGGTGGCTATGGGAAATATGTACTTATGGTTTTCCTTTCTCTGAACTGCTGGATTCAATATTCCATATATAACACATTAGAGGCTACTGTTTTTTACGATACAGACTAGTCTGTGTTCAAACATGGAGAGAGAGAAAGAATTGCACAGCAATGCAAGAGGCCGAGAGTTTCTTCCAGTGGTGACATGAGGTGCTTTTGAGATTGTGACATCATATTTGTCCTTTGCACTAAAGGAACTACTCCTGACAGTGGTATCTAAGGGGAGATGTACCCCCTACACCCATACACACACACACACACACACACACACACACACACACACACACACACTGACCCAAAATAGAGTATGTCCAATTATTCTTCAGACAACCAACCAATAGTTTTAGCATGAATATGCCAACAAACCGAATACTCATAGAATTTTTTAAATCATTCATGTCATGTATGTATGGATGTGAGTGTACACACACATGTACCAGCCCTGGGACTTGAACTCAGGGCCTGGGTACTATCCCTACACTTTTTCTGCTCAAGGCTAGTGCTCTACTACTTGAGCCACAGCTTCACTTTCAGCTTTTTTGGTAGTTTTGTGAAGATAAGAGTCTCACAGACTCCTTCCCAGGCTGGCTTCAAGCTGTGATCCTCAGATCTCAGCCTCCTGAGTAGCTAGGGTTACAGAAGTGAGCCACCAGCACCCAGCTAAAATCATTCATTGTTTACCTGAAATTCCTTCTTAACCAGGAATCCTGCATTTTGATGTACTGAATCAGGCTATCCTATTTAGATGAACTCTGAAGCCATAACCACTTCTGAACTTCAGGCACCTTTAAGAGGTTATACAGAAACAACAACTCAAAAATCAAAAGTCTATAAAGGCAGAAATGGAGGGACAAAAGATAGACAAATGCAACAGTGGTACTCACTAGACACGATGTTGAAAATGGACCATACAACTTGTGGGGGGAGGGAGGAGGAGGAAGAAAATGGCAAGAAAGGGAGAGGAGTGACACTGTCCAA